GCAGTGGAAGTTTTTGCGACATTCAACACAAGCGGCTTGCCGATAGCAAAGTCATACCCTAGTCAGACGGGCTAAAGGAGTGCACTTCAACCAACGTTTACTAAAAGGGAACAGTCGATCCATGGGAAAATGCTCACGGTCACATAAAAGAACTACGTGTGCGATTTGATTTCCAGCTCGACGACATGAATCGTCATTACTCGCATGTCATCAGTGGTCATCAATCGCACGTCATCATCAACGCTAGCCAAAGATACACTCTACCAAGCACGCCATTCCCAGCAGATCCGGTGGAGTTTTTTACAATGCGCCGAGAGAACCGATCTCAGGGCGACCGCAGCGTCACTGTTTCGCCATCTATAGCGCAGCGGCACACGCTCGATAGCCGCTCGAGTTCCCGAACTGACAGCCTCTAGTAACGTTGACTTCAACCAAGTCCACTTCGTCTTTAGTGTTATTTTTGTATTGTGCCACACGGCTCCTTCCTGAGGAACACACTTGGCTTCAAGTGAGTTGAACCAACTGACTTCAATCGATTGAGTTCGGGGCCTCGATGAGAGTTTTTCAACAGTAAAACATAAGAACACAATAACCAAAAAACGTGGCGTAAAGTTTTGTTCTAAAACGAATTAGAATTTTGTGAAAGAGAGAACACAAACAAGTGTAATAGCAAAAAATAGTGGCGTTTCTTTGTACCGATATTAGCACCGGGGTGAACCGATAAGAGACGATGATCAAAGTCAGTCGCTCCAGTGCTATCTTGGTCAGCAGAGGAGGATAGAGCTTACATTTGTTCCAGCGTGCAGCTGCACGAGACAACACAATAATCATAATATAATAAGGCAGTGTCCGCGCCTTCTCGTAGACCTCCGGGAACGAAGCGGAACGCCAAAATTGGTTCTGCTTCTTGTTTATCTTGGCTTGCGATGATCCTTCAGAATCATTCGATTGGCGTAAAATGTTTAACTAATAAACGATTTTTGCGCCAATTGGATTGTTCAGATCGATCGTCGCAATCCAAGACAAAGAAGAAGCAGATGCGACCTGAATCATCATCATCACTATTATCGTCGGTCTACAGAAGTTAGGAGCAGCGCCAAATGTGCTCCCCGCCTCTCGCCGCAACGCACAAAACTTTGGCAAGAAAGAAGTTGATCAAAATTTGAAGGTTCATTCTTTCAAAGCGCGAGGGGTGCACAAGAAATATCCGTGCACGTAAGTGAAGTTCAAAGAACTGTTTTGATGCATAAAGACAAAAATATTTCCATGCTTGTCCCGTCAACCCAGACAGTATGCGCACAAAATAAATATAGATTCGTAGTAAACCTTGCATCCAGAGGTATTATCCAGCGAAACAGCGTAAAGACCGGAGCAGCGAATACAATTTCCGAATCAACAGAGATAGACTTACGTTGTCTCTGTTCTCACGATGAAAACAATGAAAATGCAAGCTTCATGCCGCACTTTCACACTTGACAGCGTGCTTTGAGGCGATTCTGTTTCTGGTTCTGCTTTGGTTATAAGCGCGTCATGCAGCGATTTTGACAAGTTTCTCGGCACGCTTTTGATGCTTGGCCGCCGAGCGTCTTGTCCGGCCGGAGCAGAGCTCGTGAAAAATCTCGTAGGCCAGGGGCTGGCAGAAAGGAAGCACTTCCAGAGCCAGCGCACCAGCTGAGCGGCACTGGAATCGCGTAGATATACGCGCCCTAGCTTTCGCAGTGTTGACGAAAAGCCAAGCTCTACACCGCGTGCACAGATTTAGGATATTATTATTAACAATAACAAAAATTTATAATAATTTTTATTGGCTCAGGAGGACCGCGGCACCGCAGAAAGAGACACTTTATTTGCACCGTAGAAAGGCCCGTACCATAGAGGCTCGCGGTGCCGCTTCTAGAGATGATGGGGATTGTGTGACGAAATAATATACAAGATGAGGACAACTTGTTGTTATGATTGTCGCAAAAACCGCTGCCAGAGTGTAAGTTCGGGGACAGTTGAGGCGAGTCTGCCAGCGAACCGACGTCACCTTGCGGGTTGTTCGATGCACTGGAACCCTGGCGTATACACACAGAATGGCTCCCTATGAGAGACGCTGTCGCCGGATGAAGCGGCTCGCTTTGAGGTCGGGGGCGCTCAGTGAAGGCGTTTCTGCGACCGAAACTCGGTTCACAGCCTGCCTGTTTAGCGCACGATCCGCACGGCGCGCGGCTGCTGATATCTGATGAGCGTTTCTCGGGAACACCTGCCGTATCGTGGCGCCAGCGTGCTGCAGCAGCACACTGCAGCAGGACGCATCGCCGGCATCGCTGTCATGTTTGAATGAATCGAGAGAATGCGTTCTTCAGGTGTGGAAACGCAATGGCACTTTTTCTCCCCGACTGCTCTCGTGTCATTTCTTTAGACTAGGGCGCGTTCTCGGATCACCCATAAATGACCCCTCTGCTGGCAGCCGGCGCTTCTAGTGACGAATCTGTTGTGCGCCCACTGACTGACGATAGCCCACGAGGAGAGCAGGTCAGGACCAGATTACGCTGCCTAGAGTTCCTCGATATGCTCCTCCGAAGGGGGAGCAGTGTTGCGCATTGGTTTTTCCGCGCCGCCACTGTTCCTCAACAACGATCATGTGAGGTGAGGAGCAACGCGTCGGTCTCGGTACAAATTCGTCTGGCGTCGTACTACGCTCGAGGACGAGAAGGAAAGAAAGAGGAGGAAAGGAGAAGGGGTGAGGAGGAAACTGGGGGAGGGCCCCCGGGAATATTGTTGGGGGAAAAAAAGAAGGGGAGTTGCGGTCGGGGAGGTCCCCCGGAGATTTTTTGTGGGTTGTGGGTTAACTACCGACCTCAGCCCTGCCATGCCCCACAGCGGTTGCCTTAGGAAACAAAAAGACCTTGGTGTGGCGCCGTAAAGTCATAGCGTGACGAAACGCTCCGGCCGCGGCCTGTACTACAACGTGCGCGCTGGCGTACACTTCTGTGGGCAGGTCAGGAATACAGTAGGTCGCGGTTCAATGAAGGTTTTAGATGGTAACGGCCTGGCAGTCTTGCGGTGCGTTTGCTCACTTCGGTGAAGGCAGCGGGCTGCAGGGGCTCGCCCAGTCGAAGAAGTACACAGCTGCCCTTCCTCGCCCCCCCCCCCCCCCCCCGGTATAGCTTCCTGTGACCGTTTCCATCGTCCTGCATGATGCTAGTATCACCATCATAAACGGCTCTGTATTTGCCCTGTCTTGCGAAGCTCGGGAGAAGCTGTGCTATACATTCCTGCTGGGCAAACAAGCGTTTGAAAGGACAGTATTAGAGATTTGCGCGCCAAGAATCTCGGAGGCCATAGCGCAAATGTCCTCGCCACATGCATATATCAGGCGGCAGGTCGAAGCAGCTGGCGAGGCTCTGTGTTAGCGCCATCGCTTCCCAATCAGTGGACACGGGATTGAATCTTGGCATTCAGGGATATTCGTTTTTAAGCGCTTGGCGAATGGATGGCGAAAGCTCTACAACGCCGAGCAACGCCATACATCGTCCTACGTAATTTTGAGTGTCTATCGCTAGAAGATATACAGGCTGTTTCAGCGAAAGCATTAAAAAATCTCTCAAAATAGGGTGTTTGAGAAAGAAAAAAATTGACACTTTCCGGGAACAATCTTCCAGCCAGGGCAAACGTCAGGAATCGTAAAAAAAAAGAAAAAAAAAAAAACAACAACAACAAAAAAAAAACGTGCTAGTCAGCTAAATAATTAAGTAAATTTACTCATTAACTTTTTTATTAGTAAAGCTAAACATATGGCCCCGAAAAGAAACTTGCTAAGCATCATCTAAAAGCAATAATTCAACTCATTTGATAAAGATGTAAAGCAAGGGCAGCATTTTACGGCTTTCTGAAAAAGAAAAAAGAAGAAAACCTCTAAGTTCGAGTGTGTTTCCAGGTTTTAGTTTTGTATCGGAGCGCATGCTAGCGCCAGTGGTCCCGCTCCCCTAGGTCGAGACGCGCAGCAGACGTACACAAGTATTTCCCTCCATTCTACGAAGGATGCGAGGCGGTGGCTTCGCGCCTCGACCACTGGGGAGCAGAACCGCTGGCGCAAAGATGCGCTCCGATAAGAAACCGAAACCTAGAAACGTCTTAATTGAGCGTTTCTTCTAAACATCGTAAAAGTGCTGCCCTCCTTATATCTTTCTAAAATGACTTGATTTTCTGGTTTTCGAATATGCTTAGCAAGTTTCTAATTTAAACCATATGTTTAGTTTCACTAATTAAAAAGTAAATTAGTAAAATTTAGGTAATTATTTGGTTAATTGGTATGTTTTTTGCTCAGTACTTTACGCCCGCTGTGGCTGGAAGTTTGCTCCCAGAAAGAGTTTCTTTTTATTTTTGTTTTTGCCAACCACCCTATTTTTAGACATTTTTTTTTAAAAAATACTTCGCTGAACACCCGGTATATTATATAACGCTATAACATTAATTAATTCATTCATTCATTCGTTTCTACTTTGCTCATGAACAGCAGATGCTTGGGCAATAATATACTATATCACTGTTGCCGATATTGACGTAAAAAATTCGGCATGAAAACTGAGATCTGCATTGGGACACCGAGCATGTGAAGTAATGCTGGATGTCCCAGGCATATGGCATTGGTGCTTTAGATTGTTCCTTGCTGTTTCGAAAACGCTTGGCACCTACCCCCCTCCCCCCATAAAAAAAACAAAAAAAAACAAACAAACAGGATTTGCTACTTTAGCTACATCTTCCCCTCCTCTTCGTCCTGTCTGTAGAACTCAGGAATTGGGTCTTTTCCACTCAGACCAAGGTCACGTGGTGTAAACATCTAAAGTTGCACTTGCTTTTTTTTTTCACTCCACGTTTTATTCGGGAAATTACAGTTGAGGGTATTGTTCCAGAAGTATATAAATTCTTACTTTTGCACTTTCAACTAGCTACGAATTGAATGTTATATCGGTATCTATACCGCATTTCTCTGTTCGTTTTCATTTTTTGCGAAGGTACACGTGGAAGGTGCCCAAAGAAGAGATTCCGGGCTCCAAAGAAAACGGCAACTGGAACGGCCTGATTGGAATGCTGGCAACGGGGGTAATGTTCGATCGATTGACCCAGTAATTGACCGCTTCAGAGCTACTGGACATGGGCAGACCCGATCAGTGTGCTATAACCGGCTACCTATCAGATCGCATCAAAACTGCTAGCCAGTATCGAAGCGGTGAACACCTTCTTTTTTGATGGGACATTTGCAAAAACAATGTGTATGGAGATTATGGGTGTCTGTCAAGTAAACATAGTATGCATCTTTTAATCCGGCATTCGGAAAAATAGAGCGCCTGAAGAAGATAAGCATTCATTAATTCTGATTTGTGATGCTGGCCCAGAAAGATGAACCCTGTTTTTCATGCAGTAAAATTTGAACAATGCCTCGCCAAAGGCTCAGGCACTACCGAGCGTTGTGAATGTAGTGCTAGTGGCTGATGTGAAATTCCAGTGTTTAAAAACTTACAAATTGTTTACTTGAAGTTTGAGGAGTTTTGGAAAATTTGTAATGAGAAAAGTATGTTTGTTTTTGTCTCGAAACTCCACTCATCTACTACACGCACTCGCGGGCTATTCTGACCTTCATTTTCAAATAGAAAAGTTTAGAAAATCGTTTATAACGTTTGGGTCAGATAACATTAGGTACCAAAACTTAGGCACTTCAAAGCGCTAGGGTTGTATTTGGCACAATTTTTCCTTTGCTACAACACGTAGCGTAGCTTTGGGTGCAATGAAAAATCGCTGTTTAGTGTTTTTGTGATGCAACAAAACGCATTGCAGCAACACTACAAAGGAGTGAATACATAGTTCTTGTGTATGATAATACAATGAGCCCCATTTGGCCGTTCTTTGGTTGTTAGTGACTATAGAGTCATCGAGACAACTATCAGACGCAAGAATGAATTAAGACATCAGAACGCCCCCTTAACAGGAAGCGGACCTCGGGGCATATGGATTCTCAGTCACAAAGGAGCGCTCGGAGGTCGTCAACTTCACATCGGCATACGACGAGTCGCCGTACAAGATTCTCGTCCCAAAGCCTCGAGCAAACTACAAGTACCTTTTCCTCGACCCCTTCACGTGGGACGTAAGTATCTTCTACCGCTGGTCCACACTCATATTAATAAATGTTTGTGGGGCGATCAACTGATGACTCGCAGACAAGTCAGGATTTGTTTTTGTACGTGAAAGGAATGGCGTGCTCATTTGTTTAGTTTAGCCTGTACAGTAGTTGTTCATGTCGGGAGAGTTTGACGGTGTTCTGAAGCCCCTAGTCAAATCAACCAATTGTTTAGAAAAGAAAAATTGAGGGAGAATTTTTGTTGGTAGGGGAATAAATAATGCAGGCCAGGTGGTGTAAGCTGCCTTCCTCTTCCCTTCATCTATTCATTCATGCGGTAATTGTGCAGCAGTAGCAATGCAGAAAGAAGTCTGTGCTCCCCGATATGGTAAACATCAAACCGCGGATACCATTCTGTGCTACTATGAATATGGCAATATCTTTCTATTGACATTCATGTAATTTAGAGAAAGCACAACTGTGCAAGGATTACAAGTTTTCTGTTCAGCGTCGTGTACTGTTGTATGCGTCCGTGTTTTGTGAGAACTAATCGCCATTACAATTTGAAGTGTGGCGTATAGCAGTAGTGCTAACGGTACCTCGTATTGTTCGAAACTCTCCCGTATGTTCTCATATTTAGTATTATCATGTCTCCCGCAGACTTGGGTTGCTGTGCTTGTATCGCTCGTGCTGATTGGTCCTATCCTCTGGGGGATTCACTGTGCCAGTCCCTTCTACGACTACCATGGTCTCCGCGATAACAAGGGACTTTTTCTTCTCCAAAACTGCGAGTGGTACTGCTTTGGTGCAATCATCCAACAAGGTACATACACTCTTACATATATCAGAGCAATAACTTAGTGAATAACCTGACGACTCACGTGGAGCGTGGGCGATGATCCAGCCGATAAGCGTCGTGAACCGATATTAAGTAATGGCTATAGTGCTCCGTGATATCGGCACATACTAATCAACCCCGAAATTGAAGCCCATTCTAGGTTTCATTAAAATCTGAGAAAACCGAAAAACCCCGAATTGCAACTATCCTTGTAAAGTAAAATGTTTCAGAAGAAACAAATTGTCAGTTTTATTTTGTGTTTACCCGGAACAAAACACGCGCTCAACTCTCTCTCTCTCTCTTTTTTTTTTTTTTGTCATCACATCTTTTATTTTGTTTCTCATCAGTATCGGAACGTGTTCAAGTATCCACGATCGCTAGGTTGGATATTTGAGAAAAAACGTTGAGAAAGTGATGTAAAGGAAAAGAGGAACGCATTCTAGCAACACACGTACCGCGGCTCTGCCCTCTTTGACGCCTCTACGCCATCGCCTGTCAGCGGTTTGAGCGACGTCCAGAGCCAACCCCCGGCAAGCGGAAGGCGCTATAGGCAGTCCCCGAGGCGTCCTATACGCGCGGAAACCGGGGTAGGGCTTACTATAGAATGCGGGAAGCAGTTTCTGCGTTTAGTGAAACGACGGCAACCAATCTTGCGTGTCGCTGACCGTCGCATCTGTTCTAGTATAGGTAAAAGTATTGAGAAATAATAAAAACCGAATGGGCGTTGTTAAAACAAACCGATTTTTTGTGTCATTTTGAAAAAAAAAACATTTAAGAGTTAATTAGAAAGAAAGTGATTTCAATATTCCGGGGATTGCGGGACGCGCGCTGCGCGCCTTCTTTAAAGCAATATGCCGGAGCAAGCAAGAATCGAGCAGTTGACTGCTGCTCATGAAGAGCAGCCGTGAACCAACGTTTGACGGTCCAGGCGCGTAATGAAGGCGCGGAAGCAAGCAGCTTGTTCCGCTGAACCCAAAGAACCTGCGGTTGACATAACTTAACCTGAGACAGGGAAGAAACGAGGGGTCAACACACCGCGTCTCGGAAAATATCTGTGTTCAGAGGCGTGCCTTTCTTTTCCTTCCCTGTCTCAAGTCAAGGTATGTCCGCATTTCGCGAGCTCGCCTGCGCGCTTACCTTTCTTGCAGACCTCCAGTGTATTCTAACTGCACACTGCAACTACTTTTATCTTGTCTCGGATGCCTAAGTAAAAAAAAAAATTCCGCTTCGTTTTTTTTTTTTTTATATTATTGTCCAGCTGCATTTAATCTTGTCCCGAATATGGTAGGCCTTCGTGCATATTAATTAATATGTTACGAAATACGAAATAAAATCTAGAGGTAGCATGCTTCAAAACGCGTTCAAATGATAGATGAATGTTTGACATAACATCTGTGATTTAAGAATGGCCGAGTGTTTACGTTGCGCTATGGAAGCCAGTATTCATTTTTACTTATGAGAATGAAATATTTTAACCCGTGTTTTCACATCGTTTTACTTTGTCAAGTTACGGTTTTGCATTTAAAAAGTAAAGTAATTTCAAAATTAAACAAGCTGAGCAAGATAACATAAACCGCGATAGTGTACGTAAAACAAACGATACATACACCGAAAGGTCTCAAACACAGCTGACATTTTTATTTTCTAAAAAGTGCTTAACACCGTGACAAAAAGTAAGAGAGAGACAGAGAGAGAGAGAGAAACCAAGACCAGCTCCGCAACGTTTTGAGGGGTCCTGACACATTTCCCAATGCTTACAGCAAGAAGCACACCTGACCGATGTACAGTAATAATGCAGAACATAAAAATAAAATAGAGCAGGAGGTAATAATGGGACACTTAATGCAACAGGGGAAATGAAACAATGAATAAAATGGCAATATCCCTTGTTTAATCAGCACTCAGAAGGAGGTCTTTACGGGACTACAAATGGTCTAAATTATTTCTCGGCCCTTTGCAGGGGCAAGCCAGATGACCTTTGTCGGTTTGGCAACTAAACCCGCAAGCCTTCTCGGCCACTGTCCCACGCATTTCATGCCTTCTGCACATAAAATGCAAAGGCTATCGACGTCCATTAGACCGCGAGGCGCTCAACACATATCTGAATGCGGTACCACCTGTTTCGGAACGAAGCACATGAACTACCCGTGGACCGGTCCACCAAGTTCCTCGATCTCACACTGGAATTTAAAAATATGCAGATATGCTGAAAATATGAACCAATGTCGTGCAAAGGATTTATTTCGCTTGCGTCTGGACGTTCCAAAACTATTAAACGAAGTGTTTCCGGCATTGCTCTTGTATTGGCTTTAAAGAAATATTGTCACCAGAATAATGGGGAAAGTTTTGAAAACAAATTTTTCTGTCATGTGATTCTGGGTGTCCGATTGGTTTCCTGGTATGCGTATCTGAAACCATATGCACCAAACCTTAACGAAACTCAGCTGACACAGATGAAGGAGAGAAGACAGGAACTCAGAAAGAAAATCTCAGCAGTACCATACATTCATGGCATAATACAAAAATTAAATGAAAGAAGCCGCGAGGCAGGACATTAAGGTCGTGTGCCCTGCTCCGAACAAGGAGTATTCTATGTGCTGCAAAGTATACTTCTACATCAATCAGGAGAAAATGTACATTTCTTACAAGGCACAATATGGCCTGGTTGACACAGAGGTTATTTATGACATTCCCATGTCACGTGCCAAATGTGTCATCGGTCAAACTGGCAGGCGCGTAAATGATAGGACAAGAGAGCACGCAGCATCTGTCAAGGGAACTGCAGCACGTCATTGCTGCACCTGTAAATGCAGTGCTATGTTCAGCAGCATCACCATCCTTGTAAGAAGCAGAAGCCCCTATGCACGGGAAATGCTTGAAACTATGGCCATCAAATAAAGCAACATGCGTCAGCGTGCCTTCCATCAAGCTCAACAATAAAAGAAATATTTGCGGTGTTTTACGTCCCGCTGTAATGTGGGTCGTTTCAAACTAAATTGTATCTATATATCAAAATGAAGAAGAAACATAGGCAGGTATCCAAGGCACGTGGAGAATATGAAGCATTAAGCCATAGCTTGTAGTCCAACGATATCTGTTTCTTTTTGTATCTCTGTACTTTCGCGTTTTTTCTCGTAACTTGAAGGTGGCCCTATCCACGGTGACTATGTGATGAACTGTGCAAGGTGTCAGAGCTGAAGAGTCTGCATAGATTATGGACGGACATGACTGTGGAGCAGGAAGCGAAGTGTGCACTTGACGGCTTCCACTTGGATGGCTTCAATGACGGCAAGGGAACCGACGGGTCCTTGGTGGTCGGGACCGCAGTCGTGGTGGCGAGAGGCTCCCCTTCGCCGGTGGCGTCCGTGCTAGGCGTCACCGTGGCGAGGGCGGTGAGGGGCTCCCTGAAGGTGTCCTTGGCGGGCAGGACCACCGTCGTGGCAACGGACTCCTTGATGCCGGCGACATTCCTAATGGGTAGGGCTGCCATCCGTCCTGAACCGGGACTCAAGGCGTTGCCTCAAAGCCTTTCCCCTGTCCAATACGCCGACCGAAAGGTTGGCAGGAGCCAGCTTCTCGCCATCCGAAGCTGACCCCCGAGCTCGGCTCAGATCGAACCATCCAAGCTCGGTTCAGGGTTGGAATCTGACTTTTGTTTTGGCTCACTCGGTGCAAGAAAGACGTTGTGCAGTACTGCACGTGCCATTATAAATGTGTTGCTGGCTATTGGCGGATGCTAATGCAGAGTCCGGTGCCTTTGCAGACACCGGAATCCGTTTTTCAACAGCCCACTGCAGTGCTCCATGAACGGACCTGACCGAGGAATGCGCCTCATTTTACCGACAGAAAGCAATGGAGGTCGCGGGGATCCCAGGGACAGGGGTGTTGCACCAAGGCTCCAAGCCGTAACTGTAGACACATGCGCATTTAAAAAACAAAACCTATTATAATCTGTGCTGTTTGAAATAAACGGCAAGAAAGCAGCGAAAAGAGTTGTTTGCAAATTTGTGTTTTCCTGGCACTACGCTTCTTCGGATAGTATTTAAGAAGACGTTTAAAAGGTATAGACACGGGGTTTGCACAGTTGTTAATGTTTGGTATAGAGCACCTTTTGTGTGGTACAGTGGTTTTCCAGTGGTACACAGCCCCCATATGCAAGAGGAATGAATTTAGTATGCTCACCAAGTAGGAGCCTGCCGTCGGTCTACCAGCCGCCCTTGCTTGATGTTTATTTCTTCATTAATTTCAGATACTATTAGTCCCGTGTCTAGGACTCTTATAGGAGTAGAAAAGGAACCCATCAAACAAAATATGCAGGGGTAAAACAACAAAGTCCCTTGCATTCGTACATACATATCCAAATTTCAGGAAGCGCGCTCATTGTAGGAAACAATTCTTCAGGTTGACTGCAAAACACAACACTTTCGGGCAGGGCGTTCCACTCGCGTATTGTGTGTGAAAAAAACAAAAAAAAAAACAACTAATTTTTAAGTCGCTTTTTACAGTATCTGTGTTGTTGTAGGTGTCGACTGTGGTTATTTCTTGAAATTCTGTACTGGTGAGGTGTAACATATCATGCTGTGTCGATATAAAGAAGATCAATAAGAACCATATAAAGAAGTTTTAGACGCTTAGTTTTCCTCCTGCTGGTAAGCGACAGTAGACCGGCTTGAGAACAAAGCTCTGTGGGGGACTGAAGTCGGTGGTATCTAAAAAATATAAAGCGCACAGCCGCGGAGGCAAGATAAGCGCTACACAAAGGAGTCGTGCACCGACCCAGGGTACCGTGGCTTTATGCATACTGTAAAAACCATCATGTTCGCGAGTCTTTAATTTTCGCAAATTTCGTGAACTGAAAATTCGCGAAATTTAAGGGCACACGAAAATTTCGGTCCTTAGTTTCAATGCAGGCGTCTGGAATTGGCGGAATTTAGTGGCCGCGATTATGTCCTCTGTTACCGATTCGCGAAGAATAGGGGCCGCGAAAATAAAGGGTTGTACAGTATTACCCTGTATTCAGCGTCACGCATCTGGCAGTGTGAAAGAAATACCGACATGAATTTACCTGAATACTCTACTCATCGATTACCAAAGCAGTCTTGATTCCAGAACCTTTCACACACCTTCATGAACGCAAGATATGAAGACAAGCAACCACTACCTTCAAACAAACATAATGTGGCGGGCGGAAGGAAGCACGTGTTAAATTGACTCCATCTCCGCGTGGTGAATGATGTTGATTAGGGCGAAGCTTTGGTGGTGCTGATGATACTGATTTTTTGAGCATTTAACCGCAGCGCCCTCTCGTCTATGAACGTTGAGCCAATGAATGCAAAGTTTAACGCGATTATATACGCATTTGACCGCAGCGCCCTTTACTGTATAGACGTTGAGCGGCTACATGCAACGTTTTATCCATGATACCCCCAGCTCTTGAGTTACTACCACATCTCAGAACCCCCTACTCGTCCCACAGTCTTGGCTGAGTGGTTAAGGCGATGGACTAGAAATCCATTGGGGTCTCCCCGCACAGGTTCGAATCCTGTCAACTGCGCAAACATTTTTTTTTTCTTTTTTTAAGAAGACAGATGGGATGGCAATCGATGTGAGCACGGACGCCGGACAAGGCTAGACCCTAAGGAGCTTCGCCCCTAAAAGTGATGCCATGCTACGTTGAGCACACGCCCGTGCAGTCGGAGCAGACAAACCTTAGCAGCTCGCACCTCTCATTTATAAAATGCCATGTCCACGCCGTACCGGCGTTAGGCTGCATTCACACTGACATTCGAACCGCAACCACGAAGCGGATCCGCTCGTTTTCATCATCAGCTGCGTGTGGATCTGTATTGCATATTTAAGCAGCCGCGTTCACAACCGCTTTTCGGATGCGGTTGAGTGGCCGCTGTATTCCTTTTCAACACATTTGAAACGGATTTTGAGTACGTAGCACGATCGTACTTACCACCGTAACGATGAGAGCGTAGAAATGCTTGCGGCACAGTACACCGCCTTCGTGACGGTGGGATTGTTCCTGGACGGGCCGACGATGGCGATCATCGTCCCGTTCCCGCAACCTATGACGCCCGGTATCCTTCCGATCAGCCTGAGGCCCCTCTCCACGTCGTACCTCTCGCTCACAGCCGCGCCGGACCTCGAGACGACGCACGATGGCGACGGACACGACGCGGACAGAGACGCCGACTGTCTTCACTCCCACGCTACGTGCTGGTGGCTGGCCATTTAACTCTGGAAGCACCATGTGGCGTAGAAACGAAGTGCACACAACACTTTGAGCTCTACAGTCATGAACGTCCACGAGCTTCGTTCCGCAGTATCTTCACCTCCTGTTTCTCGCGCCAACGTTGCCTCGCGCTGCGTCGCACAACCACCGCACCTTATTCTTTGGCAGGCAATGTTTGCAAAAGATCTCCTCCGGCAGCTCGAATGCATCGCGGTGCTGCCGCTAAGTCTTCCCGGCGAAAACAATAACGCAATGAGCTGAAAAGTGGCATAATAGCCCGACGACGACACCTTTTGGAAAATATGACTAAGGAAAGACGCCTGCTTTGGAGCTGGTACCTTTACAAGCGTAGTCGGTACTAAACGAAACGTCACGATCATGTCACGTCCTGCAAGGGCGCAGTTTCTGGCTTAACCGACTCCGCTTCATTTTTGTAGGGAAATTACGTAACCTTGGCCTTCAACCAACCAGACGTGAAAGCGTCGTTTCCGTGACCTTTTAAAATTAACATGTAGGATTTCCAGCCTAGCCATCCTGGTAACGACCACGTTCCGGGATGTTGGGGAATACTACGCCCGCTTTCTCCAAGCCCCGATAAACACCAAGTTTTTTGTCCGAATCTGTGAGCGAAAAACACACCCGGATTTGAATAAAATTAAACACCGAGACAGGGAACAGTAATAATGGCTTAGGTGAGTGACACGGTTTCCGTCCATTCACTAGGTGGCATCCATCTCCCGGAGGCCATCTCCGGCAGGATCTTGGTGGGCTTCTGGTGGCTGTTCGTCATCGTCACCTTGACCACATACAGCGGCAACCTGGTGGCCGACCTCACCTTCCCAAAAATACGGAATCCCGTAGACAGTGTCGAAAACCTGGTGGCGCATCGCGGCTACATGCGCTGGGGAGCCTTCAAGGGACAGGCTGTTTTCGAGCTTCTCAAGGTGCGCCATCTTGTGCAGCATGAACCGAGGCTGCCGGCCGCGAGATATGACCGCCGCGCGTACTTCCGTAAAAAGTGCCTTCTATTTTATCCTAGCTTGGAGCAAGGAGAAACGGAGCGGTCAAAAGTGGACGGCCCGAAAGTTGCTTGACATTTTCGTGCTCTCCTTTTCCTTCGTCGTTAATTGTTTTACCTCAATCTCGGGGTTAATAACACCGTGTTTAACCTTTAGAAGATTGTCTGTCTTAACCTAATAAGTGGTTTCGTTATGTCGGCGAACAGTGTTGGTCGTTTGTTTGCCTAGTAGGACCCATAATGCAGGTAAGCTTGAGATAGACCGGATTCTCAGAGATTAGCGTAGCTGGCCAGAACGGCAGAAGGGCTATAAAGCATTTCGATTTTGTGGCCGCTTACTGTGCTGTGCCCGGTGGAGGGCGTGTACACAAGTAGCGCTTCACGTGCGCGCCGTGTTGTTTCAGAGTCAGGAGCAGGGTCCGCTCAAGGTTCTTTCTGATCGGATGAACGTGTTCGAGCCGAACCACGAGATGTGGGTACTGGACCAAGTGAGGCTGGGCTACATGGCGCTTATCGGCAGCGAGGTCAACATGTTCCACTACCTCGGGAGGGAACTCAACAGAACTGGAGAATGTGACTTTGCTGTGGCCCGGGGCGAGGTCATCCGAGACGTCAAGTCGCTCGCCGTCGCTCCAAACTTCGCCTTCCTCGAAAGGCTGAACAACGAGTAAGGCCTATTTTATATACAGGGTGTTTCATTTGAATTCCAACAGATTCTTCTTGTTTTTAATAATGAATGATAGTTAGACGAGTTCTGTCTGCATCATGCATTTATCAGACTCGGCGGACATTAGACGAGGGAATAATCGTTACGGTGAGTTACCTAATTAACTAAAAGTTCTTAATTAACAGTTATATTATTGGCTTTAGAGGTCATGTTTGACTTGCACTTTTTCACGGCAATTACTATCAGAGGCGAAATCAATTTTTAAAAAAAGTTACGAAACGGTAATTCATTAATAAATATTAATCGATCAATTGTGTCTCGTTTTTTCGCCCCATTTAAAACACTGTGCTTAAAAAGAGCGTCGTCGTCACCGTCAATCATGTCGTCACCATCTCGGTCCTTGGCGGGTGTGCCCACAACAAAAATGACCACATGACTTAAACGACTACGTCACTCTTCCAAGCGCCATGATTGGGCGGGGATTGATAGGTTCTTTTTGTGCGAAATATTTAGATGCGGCGGAAAAAACGCTGAATTTGATCGATTAATATTTAAAGAACCATTATATTTTTTGCAAATCATTTAAGTGGATCTTGGCTCTAATAGTAATTGCCGTAAATACTGCAATAGACTTTTTCCGAAAATGGAAACGCCCCATCGCTGCGAAATGCCACGCAGGGCACTCTGGGAACTATAGTTGTCCGCTCAGATTCGGTTTCGACTGAGCAGCTTCTGTTCGTGCTCACGCCGTGACCGAATGTCCTGCATACCGGATATTGTGTGTGCGTATGCAAACTTAGTAGGACGTGGCTTAGTCACCTAACCCCACGATTGTACCTTTGAGCTCAATTTCAATAATCCTGTAGTACCGGTGAACAACAATTGAAATTTGGTTACTTTGAGTCCTACCCGTATTTTGTTTGCCAAATGTCCGCTTCTTGTTACTTGATTGAGCGAAAAACAAGCCGTATTTTCACAGGAGTCTCAAAGTTGTGCCCAACATTCCAGCATGAACTTTTAAACAAACACAATAAATTCGACCTCACTACTGCACAAAAGTTGCTATGATGTCTTCCTCGTGTCATCATATCTCTCACACTCAAATTTGATGTTGATTGGAAATTAAGTTTCCGCAAACACTGAGATCGGCTATCTACGACGGAGGCTCCAACAAGCGTCCCCGAATCCTCACTAAGCCTTTTTGGATGAGTTTTACCGACGCCCAAGATCTGTGTGCGAACAATTGGTTTGAAATTGACTCGGCATACTCAGTCAGGTATAAATAAAAGATAATACAAATCTTATGGCCATTAGCAACCGTCAAATGCGGATAGGATCCTTCAGCTTCGCTCACCCCATAGGGGTACACGCCCTTATACGTGCCGTCCGGCGAACGGTACAACATTCTTCATGGAAATAATTGACTGTTGCTTTCTTAAAAACTGTTTCTATGAACGAATGTGCCAATGAGACCGCAAGATAACTTTATGCGCATATGCGATAATAAATTGATAGAGTGCAAGCAGACTTCACTTCGCGCAGTGTTGCGGGTCAGTACAGATAAGAGATAAGAACTGTGCTTGATTTAAGCTTCTAAATGACGTCTCCGAGTATTACCTCGCGTACTCTGACGTATTAAGACGAACTGCAATTTCAAAAAGATAATTTTGTCAATGAACACACAAAACAAGTAACAAACTTCCTGACCAGCAACACTAGTGTAAAGGTGCGAGCTCGGTGTACACACATATTGGTTGTGACAGCGTGTCGAATCGTACACCAGCAAAATCCACGAGCTTCGCAACGTCTAAATTCTGAGCACTGGCTCGTCCAGATACCTCGAAATGCTAACAGAAAGGCTCGAGTACAAAAATACAACAAACATGTGTGAAGACAAACTTTGCGTTTAGTTTGGGCTTGTGCTGCAGTTTCGAAGTCTGTCCGTTGGGTTAGTTTAGAGACCGAAACCGACGCGCTCGAGACCAGAAAACATGAGAAAATGGCTCTTAATAATCCACGCTCTGTGTATGATTTCTTGTCGACGTGTCGTTTGAAACCGAAACCATACCCCTCTCCTCTTTGGTCAACTAGTTCCCAGAGTGCAACGCGTGCAGTGTTGCATGCAGGGATTTATGAAAGTAGTCTATTCCAACATGAGCCCTACAACCAATAACTAAAAAGTTAATTAGTCAACGCTTATTCCCTGATCTAATGTACGCCGCACCTGATGAATCCATGATGTAGACGGCACTCGTCTAACTCTCACCCGCGTTTTTAAAAACACCTGCTCGAATTACATGTCATATATTTTGGCAGCTTTGCTCTCCATTCACTCTTTGAAGACAGGGTGTCCCCGGTAGCGTGACAAGCGTAATGTATAAATGTGACAGATTAGCGTACAACACTCAACAAACACGCGTCTGTTGTCAGGCTAGGAATACTCAAGTCAGAAATTTTATCTGTGAAAAGTTAGCCAACACAACTTAATTATTCCGAAAAATTTAAATGACAAGATATATTCGTGTAATTCTTCCGAGTTTAGCTGCATACCTCCTCAAAATCTAGGAGCTGGCGCGCCCATGGCCATCCCAGTGTTTGATGTCAGTTATACTGATGACCGTCGTGTGAGCAGTACCAACTGGCAATCGTGGTCAGTACGGTGTTCATAACCCATTGAAGGCCGGACCATGACGGGCGACCGCCTCCTCGCAGGCTGAAACGGCTTGTCGAATCAGGCCTGGTGATGCGCTGGAAAAAAAAGTACTGGCCCCAGGACAACGAGTGCACGGTGGAATCCAAGCCACAGGCCGGCGACATCCGCAAGATCACTTTGCGCCACATGACCGGCTCCTTTTGGGTGCTGGGAGTAGGCTTTTTCTCCTCCTTCGCGGCCCTCTTCGTCGAATTTGTGCGCCGGAAGAGAGAACTGACGGCGCCGCCGACCCACAAGCCCCCGACAGTCATCCACACCAAGAGCCCCTTCTTCACAAGAACCGAATACTCGGGCAAGGACACGCTGACCACGGACCGCTTCGCCACCGACTACGGAGGCCGGGGACCGAGGGACAACGCGGGCTTCGCCTTCAGTCCGCCCAACAGCCCGTTCCGCTATAACGGCTACCCCAACAACCGAAGTGACCTGATCCCGTACAACTACCCAGCACGGCGGTACTAAGCAACGTCCGAACCCCGCTGAATCCGAGGGCCACGGCTGCAGCCCAGACAGCACTATTTTCACTTTGTAGGCCTGTAGATGTTTGCAGTGTCCTCATCACACGATGACACTTTAAATGAGATTGGTAAAGAGAGGGGGGAGGGATCAGTGATCTGAGAGGCAATATGTTGACGTTCTTGAAAACTTTGAGTCAGGCAAGTAGACGATGGACAGCGCTGGAAATGGATGGACAGCGCTGGCAATGTCTCGAAGACAGCATACATATTTCAGGTCTAACATTCAAAAGAGTATTTATAAAGCTAAGGAGCATCCTTGTGTGAAAAGTGAAAGAGAACGCTTCAGATGACCCATAGACCCATATATTGTTCAAAGATAAGTTAAAGAACGCTCTTTACTTAGGCACATACAGAGTTGGCACAGGGAAGGCTTACAGTTTGCAGACGGCATAACTGAAAGCATGTCTTCACGAAGAAAGAAATGAACTTTGGAAGTGAAATTAAGCTCTCTGTGTTGCAATACATGCGTCAGTGATCCGACTATCGATTCCGATAGTTCAAGCTTGTCCGTCGAGCAACTGCCGTTTAAGGTTGCGCTTTCACAGCTGAGATTTTTCAAAAGGTTTTTGGTTTAGTTTTTAAAAACAAAAACAAAAAAGAGGAATGAATTGCTCTGTAAAATTATTGAAGTTTTAGTGAGCTTGTCGGGGCAACGTATCATAAGTCAGTAAGAAAAAATTAACTGAGATAAGGAGAATCTTAAAAATTGCAACGAGCCAAGTGTCTTTTTCTTAAAAACGTACAATTTGCGTATTTTCCAGGCCATGGACTTTACATGCTTGAAAGTTTTCGGCTGTGCAGACTATCTACCCGTGCAGACTCTATTTGGTTTTTCAAGATGGTCCAGTATGACGAGACATGACGGATTTTGTGAAGAAAAATGTAGGTTATTTATGTATAATACAAGGTTCTTTGCGATTTAAGAAAGCAGATGTTTGTCAAGGTGTGCCGTGTAGGAGAAGCTTTTCGTGTCGACTAAGCACCAGGTTTGGACTATGCACGGCGTGCGGACTATCTAAGCAAAAACGTTTTTTCGGCATAAATTGTCCCCTGCGAACTACACACGGGTGCGAACTATAGCCCAGAAAATACGAGGCCAGTTTTCCCATAAATGTAATGACCCCATAGCGCTATGCTGTTTAAAATACAAAATACTAAGTCCTAGTATTTTTATAAACTCTTTTTAAATGAAAATTTTTGCGAAAGTCTATTTCGCATTTAAAATATTCGAAAACTACATTTATAAGACATGTAGCATGGTGCCGGAAAATGGCATCGTGAAATTTATGTGGAAATAATTTTTAATCGTTAGTATATCTTAGAAATAAAATCACCATTTTAAATTACAAATTTTCTTGGAGAAGCGTCAAATTTATGTGCACCTTCATTAATTTTTTTTTTTTCATACACGAGAACGCAGAGGCGTCTATAGCGTAAGCCAGATGTTAGTGTTGAGTCTGAAGGCCCGTTCACACTCTTGCGACCGAGTACGACCGAGAGAGACCAGACCGGTTTTTAAGCCTCTTGCGATCTCTTAGGACCAGCTCCGCTGCATCGCATCCGGTCTTAAGAAGTCGCAAAAGGCTTAAAAACCGGTCTGGTCTTTCTCGGTCGTACTCGGTCGCAAGAGTGTGAACGGCGCTTGAGTATGAAACGCACAGGTGTTCATTTTGGGTTCAGTAAAAATACGTAGCTACTGGGGACATGTGCTGTGTGCTACCCTTCCATTCTATCTCGAGAGTATCTCGAGAACTGTCAAGGCTACTCCGTGCTTACGCTTGACGAAACTTTAGAGTCATTGAAGTGACGAATTTGGGGGTTGTACGTGGCAAACTAACGACTGGCATCTGGCACACGCCAGCGGAGGATCCAGAATTAATGTGGACCACCTGGGGATCTCTTGACGTGCAACCGAAATCTGGGTCACACAGCGCCCTTTCCACAATAAGCCTCCGTCAGATTGCCGGCACCTCGGCCGGGAGTCGAGCCCGCCACCTGGGGATCCGTAGGCCGGCGCTTCGCCTTGGAATCACCGATGCGGCTAGAGTCACTGCAAACGCAGTGCGTGACGAGTCTTATTAACACCCTAAAACCAATGAAATTACGGCCGATTATGACGCTTAAGAACCAATCTCAAGCAGTAAATAACGATACTTAAATTGTTCGACAGTACAGGAGTGTGAACAATTGTACCAGAAGTTGTGGCGAGCGAACACCATAGGACTGACGACGAGCGAGTGGTGAATCAATGTTACTTCTAACGGTACTCGTAAATAAAACAGGTTTACAAAAAAGAGTGTACCTGTCGCACGCCACGAACCAGTTGATATATTTCTGCAGCAGCGATAAGTCATGACAGACGGCTCTCGTCTGTGGACATACGGGCTTGAAACGCTTTCGTTCTTGTAGAAAATTTTAAAAAAGTATCCTTTCCACAAAAAGATACCATGTAGTACGTTCCTCAAATGCACGTTGACAAAGGTTGAACAATGAGGGAGGAAAGTTAGAGCCACGCATCACTAAACATAGTCGCGAATGCGCAAAAAAAAAGTGTTTTGTTAGGATTTTATTTTTTTAAACCAACCCACAACTTTCGCAGAGAAGCTGACAACCTTTTCCACACTCTGTTTGCACGTCAACGGCGTAGATACTCTAGGGTGTTTTAGGAATCCGCTTTTGTACCCTAAGGAAGATACCCGCTACTGCGCACGAACCATGGCACATCCTGGGCCCATCCTACATGTAAGTATCAGTTCCCGCTATCAAAATGCAAAAACGGTCTACTTAAACTTTGTAATAATCCTTATTTGAAGGAAGAGCTCGGAAGGTAACTCAAAGAAACACTATTAGCAGAAAGTTGAGGGCGCACTCAGTGTAGAGTTCTCGCATTTTACACACTCGTCTCCGTTTATATATATAAAAAAAAAAAAAAAAAACCTTGTTGAGACACTTTTATCATTCTCATGTCGTGTCAGCTATAAAGTCACATTTCGGGGCTGTACTCCTCAAATGAGCCAATGGCATCGGAGGAATCGTGATGAAGGACATATGGTAAATTGATATAACAAGCGGATCATTAGGTTGCAACATAAATCATATTTCCATAGCGCCTATACCACAGCAAGCCTACGTAACAATGCGGGAACTTCGGAGCTGATTTTTGACTGCTAACTGTGGGGCAGTGGGCCGGCGCTCTACGTAGGAGTTCCGAGGTGGGAGAGCCAGTCAGCGAGCCATGGTGATATTGTGGCTTGTTCGATGAACACACGTCAACTGCAGATCGTGAAGCCCTGAAAGTTCGGTGGTGCAGTCGCTTGCTTTGATGAAGCCAGCGGGCTACGAGGAGGTAGCCCTGTCCAGTAAAGAGCTGCCATCCTATAGGCATTGACGTTCGGGAGTTACAACGTATCACCGCCGGGTGTAGGACAAAATGGTATCGGACAAAATGGTCCCGGACGTTATGGTCCCGGTCAAATAGTCCCGGATTGAATGGTCCCAAGCGCGAACTCAGGCAAAATGGTCCGAAGTGATTTGTCGTCACTTTGCGCGTTCTTTTAAGTTTTACTGAATGGCTACTGTGGACGTTTATCTAACACACGTGTAGGGTATATTTTAATGTAGTTTTTGTGATACAGCACATGAGAAAACAACTAAAGAAGCTCAAAAGTGAATGTAAGTTATATGATCGCTAACTCGTCTCTATGGCTCCTATTCGCATGATTCAAAGCTGGAGCTTAGAAGTTCCTGCACAAATACACACGCGCACACTAAAAGTGCATACTCGCGATGCACTCAGCGATTGATAGACTAGCCGGTAATAACATGCACACAAAGTTGACGAACGCTATTAGTGCGGCTTGTTTTCAGCACTGCTTGATTGGCTCTATCACCTCGTAGCGGCAGCTGCATTGTGACTTTAGTAAAACCAACTATAGGTACGGGATGAAATTTTAAGCAAATAAGACAGCATTTTTTATAATTTAGAATTATCGCAATGGCATTGTAAGAAAGCATGCAGATGATGATTCATACATTATAATGCACATACTACATATTTGTGATGGCGTGCGTGGGATCGTGTATCGCTACTTCATGAATCATGATGCAAGTTCGTTAAAGACCCCAGGCTAGCAGTGGTACTATGCTGGCAAAATTTCTCAACTATGCATAAACCAGCGTCGCTGCTACTCAAATCAGACCGTCCTTACACTATATAAACACAAACATCAATTTTTTTTTTTTTTTTGTGATGGCGTGTTATATGGAACAACGTTTTTCTTCTCGTGCTGATTATGTAAAAAAAATTGTAAACACATTATTTTGTATGTGTAGGCAGCGGCGTAGACTTTCCATTTTCCCGGTGGGGGGGCAGGATGCGTTCTCCCGAAGAAGGGGGGGGGGGGCCTCTGCGCGTTATTTTTTTGCCAGAACTGGAGATTGAAGCTAACGAAAACACGCTGGAATTCCATTTCCCATGTATTGTGTCAATAAAGGCAACGTGCGCGTTATTTTGTTTACATGCAGCTACTAGAAGCTCGTTGCATGGCACGTAAACAGCGTCTCGGTAAAGGCGCGTTCACACTCTTGCAACCGAGTGCGACCGAGAGAGACCAAACCGGTTTTTAAGCCTCTTGCGATCTCTTAGGACCAGCTCCGCTCAGTGCATCCGGTCCCAAGAAGTCTTTCTCGGTCGTACTCGGTTGCAAGAGTGTGAACGCGCCTTAAGGATCGTGGCCCGAACCCGGGGGGGGGGGGGGGGGTCTGCCCCCCCCCCCTTGGGATTTAACCAGGGGGGGCACAAGCAACGTTGCCCCCCCCCCCCCCCCCCCATAGTCTACGCCTATGTGTGAAGGTATTTATTTTTTATTATTTCTGTAGTATATTTTCCCTACTTCTTGGCTCAGGTAGTGGCATGCAATGTATTAACTGAATATGTAAACTTTAAAATAGTTAGCGTTTCAGAACTTAAGTATTCAGCAAAAACATTATTTGTTTTCTATGTCCCAAAGACCTTTTGCTAAATTACCATTCCCCAAAAAGAGTGCTAGGAATGTAGGTGCACGCGCTGCACGCGTTCGCCTTATCTGTATTAAATATTCTAAGTAAACAACAAAATTAAGAGGTTGAGGAACGCGCCTGCAAAGTGCTATTTGTTTAAAAGCTTTACTTTAGAACAGTTACTGCTGCAGAAGGTAGTGCGCGTAGCGCATAAAGCTACGCTCGCGCACGCCCTTGAGCTTAGGTAAGTTAGCAAAAAGCCCCATTTGCGGCAGATGTAAACAATTGACAACCCCGGAAAAAGAAGCAAACTATGCATCAAACTTTTTCTGGGACCGTTTCGTCCGTGTTTGAGCTTGGGGCCATTTTATCCGGGGCCATTTTGACCAAGAGCATTTTGTTAGGGGCCACTTTGTCCAGTACCATTGTAGGGATGGCCGAAGGAGCTAAGCCGAAAGAGCTCGGGGAATAGACTACTTCCATAAAGCCCTACATGCAACACGGCGCGCGTTGCACTCTGGGAACTAGTTGGCCAGCCAGGGAGGAGGGTGGCATGGTTTCGGTTTCGATTGACAGGTCGACAAAAGATTATACACAGAGCGTGGACTATTAACGGCCGTTATCTCATGTTTTGTGGTCCCTAGAGCGTCATTTGTGGTCTCTAAACTAACCTAAATGGCCAGACCTTGAAGCTTTAGACAAGCCCGCGACGTATAGTTTGTCTTAACTCATGCTTGTTGTATTTTTGTACTTGAGCCTTTCTGTTAGCGTTCCAATCGAGGTATGTGGACGAGCCAGTGCTGGGAATCTCGACGCTGCGAAGCTCGGGGATCTTGCCTCTGTACGAACCAACAGGCTGTAGCAACCAATAAGTATGCATACATCGAGCTCGCGCCTTTACATTAGTGTTGTTGATCAGGAAGTTTGTTTTTGTTTCGTGCGTCCATAGACGAAAAATCACTTTTTGCGATTACTGTTTTTCTTAATACGCCTGAGTACGCGAGGTAAAACTCGGAGGCGCCATTGAAAAGCTCAATTTTAACACTTCTAATCTCTCATCTGTACTGACGCGCAGCACTGCACGAAGTGAGGTCCCCACCCGCTTGCATTCCACTAATGTTCAACATGGCGTATGCGCATAAAGTTATCCTGCAAGCATATAGGCACATTCGCACATACAGACCATTTTTAGAAAGCAAAGGTCGAGCACTCGTGTGAAGAATGTCGCACCGTTCGCCGGGAGTGCGCCGGACGGGCAAGAACCACTATGCGGTGCGCCAAACGAACGAAATTATTCAAAGCGCGTTTTACAGTTGCTAATGGCCATAATATTTGTTATGTGTTTGCTTTCTTCCTGCCTGAGTATGTCGAGATAATTTCAGACACACCGTTCAGGCACAGAT